ATATTCTAACAAAGGCATTGGGACGTCAGCAGCACATGGTTCTTTTATCCAAGTTGGGAATGAAAAACATCTTTCATTCACAACTTGAGGGGGAGTATTGAAATACGTAGTTGTACACCATATAATTATATTAGTACTCTTCTAGAAGAGTAATTAGTTAGTAAAGTAGTTAGATGGTAATATAGTAAATGTCGGTTACTGTATATTAGAGGTTAGAAGCAATAAAACAGAAAATTCCCAAATCTCTCTCTCTCTCTGACTAACTGCCCTTCTTCTTCTTAGCTCCCATTTCTTACCTTCCTTACAGACGAGCTTCAACAGCATCTAGGGGTATTCGTTGGTCCGTATGGTACGGTATTTAGACATTTCGGTACGGTATTTTTGGTATTCGGTTTCTTAAAATGCAATACCAATAGCGTACCTAATTAAATTCGGTATGGTTTGATTTTTCTCCTTTCGGTTTCGGTTTATTCGGTTTGGTAACTTCGATTTATTCGGTTCGAATACTAACTAGTGCATAGAGTCATAGACTGTAATATTCTAAATTAACGTACTCAAAAGTACAAAACTAAAAATATTTGTTGACAAAAGTTTTGTCCAAAACTAGCAAATACAAACTTAGGAAGAGAAAACTGTACATAAAAGAATAAATTTGATCATTAGAAATGTCTTATTATAACTTGCTTAGAGTTAATTGATGAACTTAGAGAATAAAGGAAAGTAAAATTTTAGATTTTTATATTTAGGTTATAACTAATAATATGTGTATTGTGTAATATAATATATATTTCGGTACGGTATGGGTATTTCGGTATTCCATTTTAAAATACCAAATACCATACCTAATACTAACATTTTTTAAAACTTAAACCAAATACCATACCAAATACCTAAATATCGAATACCAAATACCAAAATTTTCGATTTCGGTACGATAATTCGGTATTTACCAGATTATGCACAGCCCTAACAGCATCCATGGCTGTCAATACGTTCAATTTAACAGAAACAATTGTATCTAGAGTTGCTGGAAATTAGTTTGAAACAGTTTTTCGTAAGAGACAAACAAAGAAAAATATAAAAGGACAACCTAGTTTGGTACCGTACGTGACTTTATTATATAATGAAGTCTGTGGTACAGAAACAGAAGGCTGAAACAGTACATCAATGACCACACATATGCAACTCATGAAAATAAAAAAGCAAATAAATTTCAAGAAACAGCTCTTGACCCTCAAGTTGAGGTTATATATCTTTCAACAAGGATATAAATGCAAATGATCAAGAAAACGAAACGCGGAACTAGAGCAATTTCCAACATTCGTACAACTTAATATGGACGTGAAGTCGAAAATAAACACTTCCTTCAAATGCATCAGTACTCAATGTGGCTATTCCTCTAGCCATGAAAAAATCACCAGTTCCACCAATTACTGAAATGTCCCTAGTCTTGTTCATCAAAGGGTCATGACCAGCAAAATTCAAACTTCCTTTATAATCAGTATTATTGAACACAAAAGAGAAACCAAGCCAAGAACTAAAAGTGTCCATTTGATCGTAAAAATACATGCCTTGTGCCCTTCCAACTGGTGGTGAATGTAAATTATTGTCAAGCGTAATTGGATCATCAAACACAATTAAGTCCCCAAAATTGTTAGGACTTGCCATTATGGTCCTGTTTCCCCATTCTGGCGCGCCAATTATGGCTGAAGTCGCGTTCTTATAATTTTCACCATTGTAAACAATGTCATGAAAATAAAACACCATTTCTTTGCAAGGAGCGCGAACACGACGAGTGTAGCTATGAGCAGAAATGGAGAGAAGAAGAATGCATAGAATTGAGAATAATAACTTAGAGGCCATTGGTAGACAAAATTCAATTCAAAGAGAAATTTAAAATAGCTCTTTGCAATTTTTGAGTAGTTGGAAGGACCGGTTACTCTTGGTCTCTTTATATAGAGTTCTAAGCATCTGTGCTTTGATTTAAAAAAAACTTAATTGTTTGGTTTATTTACCATGCATGTGGAATCAGGATAGTGATGTTTCAACGTGATATTTCTTGGTTTAATATAATTAGCCATATATATATATGTATATATATATATATATATATACAGTTGCAACTTCAAACAATAGTTTCAGCTTGTTTCCATTTGTTGAACCCGCCTTCAAACAATAGGCTTAGATCGTTCATATATGGAGTATTTTTTTTTAATCATGATGTTCGAGAAGAAATCACCTAGTGTTTTTGTTTTAGGTGAATTTAAATAACAAACTTCATGATTCTCAACCCACTTTATTGACCACTATGTCACACTATTCAGTGCCGTTTTGATCGTTCATATTATTAAGATCATGGAAAAAAATCAAATAATTAAAGTCAAGATTCTTTGGTCACAACTCATAAGTAATTACGTCCCAAAAATTTGATGTAGCTCACGTATGTATTCACTTCAGTGCGCATAAATTGCAATTCCTTAAAAATGAATTTTCACTTAGGGAAACGAAAAGTATTAGTACAACTAATCACTACCACTGTATTACTTTAAGCTGCTAAGATGTCAAATAATTATAATGTGCTGAAGATTAGGTTTGATTTCGTATATAATTTCCTGAAAGAAAGAAAAAGAAAAAGAAAGTTGACCAGAAAGCTAAAATACCCAGCCTTTTCTGAAGATTCGATGTGCGTAAGAAAGCAATTTTTTAAATACCAAACAAGTTTGAACTGAAATATAAAATAACTTAACAAGTAAATAGGTGGGCTT